GCAGAAACTTGGGTATTTACAGTAAAACACAGGGTAGATGGCAAAATTGGAAGGTACAAAGCTAGATTGGTGGCAAAGGATTTACTTGGACCTATGAAGCGGACTACCATGAGACTTTTGCTCTAGTTGCAAAGATAAACTATTAGAATTTTATTGTCATGTGCAGCTAACCTGGATTATCAATTTAATGTGAGAAAGGATTTTTTTGTACGGAGATCTGGAAGAAGTGTACATGGATATTCCTCCAGGCTTTGATAATGTAAAACAACAGGAAAGGTTTGCAGATTGAAGAAGGCATTGTATGGTCTGAAACAGTCACCTAGAGCATGGTTTGATAGATTAGTAAGGCCATGATTTCTTTTGGGTATTCTCAAAATAGTGATGATCATCCCTTGTTTATCAGACACTATAATGGTAAGACTACTTTATCAGACATTGTACATTCACCTTGTTTATGTGGATGATATGGTTGTAAGTAACATGATGAAGAGGAGATTGCCCTTAAAGAAATTGTTTGCTCAGGAGTTTGAGATAAGGATTTAGGGGTCTGCGATACTTTTTGGGCATAGAAGCCACTAAATCAGATAAAGGGATCTTTATCTCTTAGAGGAAGTATATCTCGGATCTTTTGGAAGAAACTGGTATGTTGGGTTGTAAACAAGTTGACTCCCCATTGAAATTAGTTACAAATTACAAGCAGGGCGTCAAAAAAAAAAAAAATGATTTGACTAGAAATCAAAGACTAGTAGGAAGATTGATTTATCTTTCTCGCACTAGACCAAATAGAGCATATGCTATGAGTATAATAGCGAGTATATGCATGATCCCCAAGTTCTTATCTTGAAGCTGTTTTCCGCATTTTAGGGTATCTAAAATCTGCACTTGGATACTCTTTTCCAAGCATGGTCATCTCAGTTGAAGCCTATACTGATATTGATTGGGTACTTTTGTTCGTGGAAACCTAATTACTTGGAGGAGTAAAAGGCTGAATGTGGTGGCATGTTCAAGTGCAGAAGCAGAATATAGAGCTATGGCTTGAGGGTTTGTGAAATTATTGTGGCTAAGGAAGAAAGTGGGAGATTTGCAAATGTCAAAAGAAGAAAATTCAACCTTGTTTTGTGATAATAAGGCAACCATTAGTTTTGCTTACAGTCTAGTTCAACATGATCAGACAAAGTGCATAGAGATTGACTGGCATTTCATAAAAGAAAAAGTTATCGAAGGTATCCTAAAGCTTACTCATGTGACCTCGGAAAATTAGCTTGCTTATGTTTTCATCAAAGGGCTTAACAATAGACAATTTCATAGCTTGATTTGCAAGTTGCGCATGTGTAATATCTATGCACCAACATGAGGGAGAATGACTCGTAGAATCCTAGAATATCTTGCATATTAAATTTAAGAGGATATTTAGGAAAATTCTTTATTTTCCCTTTATTGTAGCTTTCCTATTTTGATATATTTATCTTTGACGTAAACCGCAAATACACAAGAAATAGAGTAAATCTTTCTCCCATACTCTTTGATACTTCAACAAGCTAGCTTGGTTGTTGTTGTAATATTTAGCTAGTTAATGTTTGGTACAAAGTAGTGTACTTCCATATTCTAGGAATGTTATCTAGCTAAAGCTACTACTTAGTTTGTTTTTCATTTTGTCCTCTTTGCTATATAAATATATATATAGCATATTATCTGAAAAACACACTAAGGGAGGGAAGTTCTATTCTTAACTTTCATGTTATATGTTCTCTCTTAATCGGAAAACTTCAAATGATGTCAAAGCATTCTTCTTAAGGGTTGTTTTTTGCACCCTTGGATAGCAGCAAAAATTTACTCACATGACCTCTTGTTTTCTTAGTAGAGAATTATGATTTCTGGAGAGTAAAGATTGAAGGTTTTTCTAATGTTTGATGATCTACCAGAGGCTACGTGAAGGGGCATGAGTCAACCCCATTGCTAGGCACTCCCACCCCAAAACAAATGTAGCTTCACACTGATAAGTGCACCAAAAACTATAACGCCCTCGCTCTATTTCCTTCAGTAGCTATATCAAAACTTAAAAGGGTGAAATTTTGAAAATGAAGGACAGTGAAAGAGGTTGATGGATCTTGTGAATCAAATTCGGCATCTTAGATATAATATCTAAGGACACGAGACTATAGAGAATACTTGGGATGTTAGATGCAAAAATCTCATTTAATTGAATAAAGTTGTGATTAGATGATGGCAGTAGCTAAATTACTTAGCAAGTTGCAAGTTAAGGAGTAGAGTGTCTGAGATTTTAAGAACCAACAAACAGGCCTTGCCAGGCGACAACAGAAAGCAGACTTCATTTTATAAATATGGCAAGAAACCTAAGCTTGAAAAAGATAAAAAAAAGGGAAAAGCAAAGATAAAAAAAGGGGGAAAAGCACTTGATACCTTAAAGTTTAGCAGGGAAAATTTCCTCCTTGTGGTACTTGTAAGAAGAAAAACCACTCGGAGAAAATTTGCTGGTAGGAAAATTTGGCCAAAATTTGAATAAACATGGTGATAGTAAAAATTTGAAATGCGAGTAAAATCAACCTCAGCAACAACCAACTTAACAGGCAAACTTTATTGTTCAAAAACAACAAGATCATTTATTTTTGGTTTCTCAAATTGTCAAATGACTTAAAAATCTCACCTGGTTTTTTCTGGGGATGTTCCCATACTGCCTGAGTCAATCCGAACCAAGTAAGATCAAACCATGAACCATGGTTTGTTCTTACAGTTTGGTTTGGATAATTTTATAAACTGAAAGGTCAGGTGTTGTAAAATTTCTAAACCAAACCACCATTGCTTATACACATGTAAAAGTACCACATTTTTATACTTATATTTCAAATTTATTAGATTTTCTAATGTGATTAACTAAAAATCTATTTTTTGTAAAAAAAAATTATCATGTATCTCGAGGTTTTTGTAATGAACAATGGTATTTTATGACTTAAGAAGTCAAATAACTGATTTTTTCTTTTAAATTGAAGCCTAATATTACGTAAATAATAAACTAAAATTTTTAAACTTGGTAAATTGCTCAAACTGCCTAAGTTAAACCAAACTGTATATCTACAGTTTGGGAGTTTGACTACTCTGTGGTTTGGTTCTTCTTAAATTTTTTTCCGAATTGATTTGGTTAATTCGGTTTGAATATGTTCTTGAAACCGATCTGAACAAAATTTTGAAGACCACTAGTTTTTGGATAGTGATTGTACAAGCCATATATCCATGGATGGAGATATCTTTTAATTCTTTGGTAAAATCAACTAGAACCTAGGTGAACTTGAGCAATGGGGATGATTCTAAATGAAGGAAAACCTCCATTTCCTTTTGCACAATCAAATTGTTCAAATGGGGTGGAAAACGTACCATATGGATGTAAATTGTGCATTTTTAAATATTGTGCTACAGGAAGACATTTATGTTGGTAAGATTGAAGTTGTATTGTTTTTAGATGTGAGGATATGCTGTACAAGCTTTAAAATGTTTCTATCAGAGCTAAATAAGCGCATAGGGCTTGGCACAACAGAATAAATGTCTGTCTCCTGCGTTATGGTTTCGGGAGTTAAAGATGAAACTATCCTATATATGAGAAGCTCTAATGTTGTTGATTACATTTATGTATGTGGATAATTTCTTACTGGTGGGAAGTGATCCTTACTGCTCAGCTAGCCAAAATGAGTGGGAATATCTAAAAATATTATTTTTAACTAGTAATATTTTAATGTGTATGCAATGATTTATAAAGATATAAGATATATACATCGCTTTGGGCCTTTGAATTTTAGAAAAAATTTTCAAGCCCTAAATTATGCAAAATCATGCTCGCTCCTAATGCTGTTTAATTTTATTTAAAAGCTTAATTATGAATCAAGTTGAAAAAAATGAGCTGTCAATTATATTCTGTTAAAGTTTCGTGTAATTTTGTTAGCATATCATGTGCACATGGTGCTGTGAGACTGTACATTTTAAGATTATGTATTTTATCATGTATTTGTTCTCTTTGATACTATTATATGTATATTATAACTGTTAGACTACACTTCTAGTATGTAGAAATAGTAATAAGCAGAATATACAAATTTACGTCTCGAACTTTGCAATTCTAGCCCTGACACCTTGAATTTTGTAGATAACATATTGTGCACTTAAACTTATAAATTTTGGTAGCATTACATATTTTTTTTACACTAGCAATAATATTTTTTTTTTATTTTGGCTTTTATATACAAAATATTAATTTGATGCATAGTTGGCATACTTTTTAGAACAATAATTTTATATTTTTCAATTATTTAATAGGTGTTTAATTGATTTAACTTTGTAAGTTGAAGTGTTTAATAGGTATAATTTTATAAGTTGAAATGTTTGATAGATGAAAGTAAAAATTGAGAGGATGTCATAAGATTAAGGTAACAAAGCTCACGAGTGAATTTATGTATTCAGCCGATAGTAATAATTATAATCTTTGTATAATTTGATTCCAATGGAATTTTTAAGACTTGTATATATAGGATGTGTAACTGTTAGACTATACTAATAGTATCTACAAATGATAATAACTATAGCTAATCGAGTCACACATGGATGAGCTGAGGTCAAGCCAGCACAAATTTGGCTCATTAAATGAGCTCTAAAATTGGTCTCAACAAGCTTCCGTGAGTGAATTGAAATTGGTCTTTATCCTGTTTGGAGGGGGTTTGGGATGTCTTAAGTTTGAATATAAAACTTTGCTTGTGAATTGCTGATTTAGGTGTTTGAATGAAATTGGAATTTCTTTGCATTAGTTCCAACTGAGATCCTTAGAGCCAGCGATTTTCATTGACTTTCCGGGTTAATGCAACTTTCACAGATACAGATAGAGTAATGCAGGTTTAATTTTATGGTTTAGCTGAAATAACTTTTGTACTGGTGAGCTTTTTTCTTTTTTAATTTTTCATTAGTTGAATTAACTGAGTTTCTAAATTGTTGAGTTTCAGCCCTGAGATTACAGAAGTAGAGGAAAAGCCAACTGCCAAGACTCGGACAAAAAAGAAGCGGAAATCTTCCAAGCGGAAGAATACACGCTAGTCTATGCCCCTGTTGAGGCATTGTTCGGTAGGCTACTAATACCTTTTGCTGAATATTATGCTGTTCTCTTTAAAAGTTGGTTCCTTTGTTTACTAACACCGCCAGCAAGTTGATTCTTGTGTAGTTTTTCCACAGGATACCACTGGAATCTGCAGATTTTATTTTTCGTTTAGCAGGAAGCTTTTCTTTTTGTATATTAGATCATTCTAGGAAATCTCCTGTTCGGATCCCTTGTCATATGGAATCTTTTCTATTGATCTACGAAAGAAGTGGAAAATGCTCTAAATTATTACATTTAATTAATTTTAGTTAAGGTGCCATTTGTTGCTATTAATGAGTCAAAGTCATTATCAGCACTTGAATTTTGTTGATTTTGGGTTCTCAACATTGCTCTAGTCCAACCATGTGAACCGGTAAAAACTGGATAAAAACCGGTGAACCGGACCGTATATACTGCAGTTCGATTCAAACAAATTCTCACAACACAATATATTATACACATTGATCGTTAAAAGCGTGCTATTGGTATGCATGTCTTTCTATGCACATTTTCCTATACATAATCAATCAAATCAGTAAATTACCATTAATAAAATTTGAATAATTTGATAATTTTTATTGGAGAGAATTAAATTAAAGGGAAAAACAAAAAGGAACTACAATTATACCTCTTGAATTGCTCATTAGTCGTCAATTAATTTCAAAATTTTCACATCACATTTCCGCGATGCTCCTTTTATCAATTTTCATTTTATTTATTTATTTCATTATTACATCATTTTATCAATTTTCTTTTTATTTATTTATTTCATTATTATATATTTTACGATCACATTCCCGCGATGGCTCCTTTTATCCACACTATCTCTATTTCCACTCATTATTACATCATTTTATCAATTTTCTTTTATTATTTATTTCATCTATTAGAATTATATATATATAGTATATTATAAGTTTTTATTATAGTATATCTTTCTTATGCTTATGGAATCAAATTGGAAATATGAGTATTGGAAAGTATATTATATTTATTATTATAGTATATCTTTCTTATGCTATTATGGAATCAAATTGAAATAGTAGTATTGAAGTCCTATCACATGGAGTTGTAGGTTTAAATTTTAATAATCAAACACAAATTTATTCTTATATATTTAATGTAAAAAAATTTATATTATGTTTTAAAAATTATTTAGTGTTTATAAATCCATTTTGTAAAATTTATTTAGTATTTATAAATTTTTATATTTTTACTTGTAATAATATATTTTAAAATATTATATATAAAATTCCGGTTGAACCGTATTAAATCCGATCGAACCCTTCGATTCAGTGAATCCCTGCCTCTATCGGTTCATTTATCGTTTCTCCAAACATTTTTATTTACAAATTTCTTGAAAATGAGATATGCAATTGCAGTGTACCCATATGTCCTCTCATGGAAATCTAGGACGATAGGCTATTCAGGTATATTTCCAATTTCTTTCCCTTGTTTAATTTGAGAGTAAAATACGTCGTGTTACTAAATTATAGGCATATTAAAACTTACATCTTTCTATAACCATCGAATAGATGTGACATCCTTCTGTCCATTTGGACCCAAATTCAACATTAAATTTCAAATAAAAATACATAGTTAGGAGAGGAAATACAATTAAAATTCCAAACTGCCCTTAGAACTTCGCATCAGCATCATCTTCACCTTACTTAAACCTTGATAATAACTCTTCACAAAATCAAATTTGAAAGCTATTCTGCTTTTAGCAAATTCAATAGATTGTATTAATCCAAAAAAAAGTCAATTATCAGAGGATAGTCTCGAACCTGAATACATACCAAAAATTAAACTAGAATGACTAGGTAAAAAAAGATTTAATTCTGTTGAATTGTTTGTATTTATATGGAAAAAAAGAATATTTTAGTAACCTAAAAGCGACTTTAACAAATTTTTAACAAAATTTAACGATTGAAAAGAGACTTTAACAATTTTTATTAAATAAAATTTTGCAGAAAATCAGAGAGAGTTCCCTAAAAGGGATGCTGGAGACGACGCACCAAGAGTCGGCGAGGGTGGTGCCGGCGAGCTGGAGCTTACTGAGATGAGCTGTGAACATGATAGAGACTAAAGTAATCAAGTAATGGAAAGTATTGGTGAGGTCAAGAACCTTATATAAAAATTAAATCCATCATAAATCGATGATTGTCAGCTTCAATGATACAAAGGCCGTCTTCTAAACAGATGTACTGAGAAATTAGGTACTCGAGCTTTACCCATGGCGGCTTCTTGAGCTTTTGTTGCTACGTTGGGGCTGGAAGGTGAGTTTACCTTTTTGTTTCTAATAAAGGTTAATTTGGACATTGCATATTTACTTGAGGCCGCATGTGAGTCCAAATGAATGTAAGGATCCATTTATTTGACTGGCCAATAATTTAAGGATGTCAAAATTATTTATTGATTATAGAAGGACGTAAGTGTTAATATGATTATAATATAATGACTGTAAAAAGATTTCACTCTTAATTTTATTACAAGTTGTTTTCTTCTCACTTTTGTTTTCAGTGATCTCTTTTTCTCATTTGTTGATAGTTTTTAGTTGAACTCTTCATTTGATTACATTTTTTTATCTGATTAGTTTTAAATTTTTTTAATAATTTCACATATGTATTTGTTGTAATATATACATTTATCTCTCTAATTTTACTTAAAGATGTGTAATTTGGTTTTATGATCAATAATATTGAAGGTTGTGTTTGTTTTTTTAGGGTTATATGTCACTTTGGCCTTAGTTTATTGTCTACATTATTGACATGGCTTGTTGATGGGGTGTGCACGAGACCATAGAATCCTGACCTATTCTCGAAAATTGTCTCAAATTTTTCATCCCATATCTCATTCTGAAAGCAATTTTGATATGAAACTCATTCTTTAATTAGAAATATTCTATACTACTTTCAAATTTCATCTCATCCCAGTCCATCCAAAAAATGTGTAATCACATCTCATTCATTGTTTTAATCAAAACTACATAGTTTGATTTTTTGGTATTTGAAGTAATTTCTCATAACCTTGAGATTTCCTGTGTGACCATTCTTACTCTCTCCTACTAGATTTCAATTCGAGGACGAATTGTTCAATGGAGGACGAATTGTCTTAAGGGGGGGAGATTGAAATACCCCGAATTTTTATTTTCAAAACTTTTGAATTTTTATTAAATCAAAAATTAGAAATTTCGATTGTATGGGCTGCAGGTACTGTATAATCTTAATTCGCGAGTTGGGCCAAGCCCAAAGTATAGTATCGTAACCCCTAACCGAGAATTTTCTAAACTCTTCTAGAATTATTTTGGGCATTGAATATTAAATCAATTAAAATAAATTAATTGGATCCGTAAACCATGTGAAAACCTTGAAAATCAAGCAAATCGAGCAAAATCATTGAATCAGACCAAACCGGTTCGAATCGAACCGGAATGATCTAGAAACCGACTTAGTTTATTTTTTTCTTTCTCTCTTCTTCTTCTTCCGCGCGCACGCTAGCCCCTCCCCGCTGGTTCACTGCGATCTCCGGCCACCGGCCACGGACCCCGGTAACCAAGCCCTCAATCTTCATCCTCTCGACGAGAGGAGCTCATTGGTAGTGTTGGTTCGCAGAATAGAGGCCATAATCGATGAAGATCGCAACTGGAGGATCTCAACGTCGCGCGATAAGATTTCCGGCGATCCTTGCTGTTTTCGGCAGTTATAGCAAGAAGGAGAGGCATCGATCGCTTCTTCTCCTCCGTGCGAACCTTTCGCCTCTATTAGATCGGATTTCTGGTGAATATTGGTGAAACCACCATGATCGGTGGCTTTCTTGCTGGCTGTCCGGCTTGTTCCGGCCAAACGAGCCACTGGCTCATCAAATTGATGGTAGATTTGGACTCCTTACGAAAAGTTGAGTCGGGTGGTGGCGACCTTGCAATTTTCTGGGCAAGACCGACTTTCCGGCCGCCGTGCAGCAGCGGTCCGGTGACCGGCCGGCGACACTCCGGCGAGGTCCCAAGAGACAGAATTCTCTTCTCTTCGCGCCGATCATGGAATCGTGGCCGGATTCTTAATTGGTATGTTCTAAGACCAATTTCCCCATTTTCGGTATAAATTCTAAACTTAGTAATTATTACTTAATGTATAAATTCTAAACTTAGTAATTATTACTTAATTAAATTGAACTTGAATGAATTAATTCATATATTATATATGAGCTAGGTTGAGAAGGACCCATTTATTTTGACGAACAACAACTATTTTGAATAGTTGAGGACATTTAGATAAACTAATCATAGGAATTGATATATTTAAGGGCGAATTGAATTACTTCGTAGATGTATTCATGAAATTTTAGTTTAATTGAAGCATTTGTTCTTAGTGTCTAATTTAAAATTTGATAACGGTATAAATATGTGATTGTCACCTTTAAGCAAGGGTGAAGAAAGGAAGGTTTGATAAAGAGTTCTCTAATATATAAAGGCTAGGTAACTATCAAACGAGGATGACTGAATTTAACTTATTGATATAAGTTTTGTTTATAAATTGTACATTATTTGATAATTAGTTAGAGAACAATTAATAATATCGTTGGAACATGCTTGGAGGTTATTATAATTCGTAAATTAATTGGTGCATGTGGACATGGTTGGTGCATGTGGATCATGTTTGTTTTGGAAAGATAGGAGAATGGAATAAAAGCTGATTTGATTTTGCCCGAACGGATGAGCCTGTGTGCATTGATGATAAATATAAATAAGTAATTGTGAATATTTAAGAGCAGTAGATAAGTCCCCTACCTTAGGGAGTAAGTCGAAATTGTCGATAGAATGTAGAGCTAGTTTTAATAATAAATAAAAGTCTTATTTAAATAAATTATATAATTGATACATAATAAAAATAAAGTGCTTTAAATTATTTATTGTAATTATTATATTATTATTATATTATTATTATTTATTTTTATCCTTGTTGTTTATTGTTAAATATGATTTATTTTAATTAATTATTTTGCATTTGAGAAGATGTCTAATGTGCATTTGCATTACGATGTTCAACTGAATCAATATCTGCATTAAATTTGCAGATTTGATTAATTGTGTGTATCGAATCATGCTTTGTTGTGTGGAATGGGATGAAGTGGGTCACTCATGGGTTTTGTGAGACCGTTACCGTTATTAGTGGATCCTGATATGAAATACTGTACTCAAGTATGATACGTAACGGATAGATCCTAGCCGGGTAAATGGGAGATACGGCGGCCTCCATGTTACCTATTCCGTTAACGCATTAACCGTTCAACGCACA